CAAAGCGCTAGCCGCCACCCTCACCAGGGCAGCGGCCTCCCTCAGCTTCCGCTGAAGGGAGCCCTGCAGATTCCCGGAGCAGACGGCTATTCGGTCTATAGTCGCCGCCTGCTCCAGGCTGCGCGCCGCTATATCCGGGGTAGGGGCATGCTCCACCTCGTCGACACACAACGCCTTGTAGGCCCGAAGGCCCCTACTAGGCGGAGGGAGGGGAGTATCCTCCGATAAGGCCTTCTTGGCCCTCCGCTCCCTCTCCTTCTCCTTCTTGAGGGCGACCTCTTCCTCGCGCCTTTCGCGCAGGCCAACGAGCTCGCCCGTGGTAGGCGGTCTCCCTCTACCCCGCTTCTTGGGGAGGTCGTCGTCTCCCATGGGGTCACCCCCATCGGGAGACGCACACTCCTCGGTGTCCTCGCTAACTATCGAGGCTCTCGAGGAGGAAGCGGGGGTGGTGCGTTTACTGCACCTCCGCGACGAATCCTCCGCCTTCTCATCCGAGCGGGTGAGGCTCTTGCCTCGACCTGCTTCGTCCCGATTATATGGGTGCGCCCTCGCGGCCGAGACCGAACGCGAACGGAGCTTCGACTTCGCTGAAGCCGGGCGCGGTCGGTCGATCCTCCGCACGACCACCATCACCTCTTTATCTACGGCGATATCTCGCTCGCCAGGGGTGCTCGTCGGCAACACCCCTGGTGGCCCGTCGTGTGATGAAGACGGGGGGGGGGGACCGGGACTATATCCCTCCACGCCAGTCGCTGCGGGATCCGAAGCCCGCTGCGGCAGTGACCGTTTTATCTTTCGTCGTGCTCATCATGCAGTAAAGAAAGATGGTTTGATTTCGGTGTTTTCCTTCACCTAGGTCGGTTGGCTTCACTACGCCTGACGAGCCTGACCAGCCCGGGATTTTTTACTGAGGTTACCTACCTCGCCGCCCCACTCGATCCCCCGTCTTCACACGAGACACACACCCCACCCCCCTACCCGCGAAACCCCAATACCCATCCCAACCATCCCCAATACCCACACACATACCCATACGCCCCCCTCAAACCAACACAATCCCCCAGAAAAAACCCCAAAACCCCCATCCAAACCCCCCC